GGCCTGGAACTCACTATATAGACCAGGCTGGCCTTGAACTCACAGAGATCTGCCTGCCTCTGCTTCCTGAGTGCTGGGACTAAAGGCATGCACCACCCATCTCAAGGAATCAGCTCTTTAGTGTTTTCTGGTTTTAAACATGATAGTTCTGCAGTCCCTAGAGGATGGATAGGCTTTTTGGTCCCTCTTGGCAAGTTTAAGCCACATGGTTACTTTAGCTGGACCCTTTGCCACTAATCAGACAGACCTTGATGGGAGGCCTTCCTCTTGGGGCCTTGACAAGCAAGGACACTGATGGAGTGTTAAAAGCATAGCGACTTGCTTTCACCCAGGCTGGAGACAGTACTGATGCTCCTTATGAAAGCCAGGGGGACCTGAACGACCCCTGGACCGAGACAAAAGGCTGTCTCCTCAGAAACACTTGGAGTATGCTCCCACAATGAGAGGTGAAGTTTTCTTCTTCCCCTTCCTTCCCTTTTTGTTTATTTTTTGAGACAGGCTATCATATACCTCAGGCTGGCCTCAAAGTTGTTATGTAGCTCAGGATGACCTTAAACTGCCTCCACCTACCAAGTGCTGGGAATCAAATTCAGGACTTCATGCATGATAGGTAAGTATTCTACACACTAAGCTAGATGCCCAGCAACTTCTTTTTTTTTTTTTTTTTTTTTTTGATATAGGGTCTCACATAGTTCAGGTTGGCTTTGAACTTGATATGTAGCCAAGGATGACCTTGAACTCTGATCCTCCTGCCTACACCTTCCAAGTGCTGGGATTATGAACATGTGCCACTGTGCCCAGCTTAGAGGTGAGGTTTTGAAACAGCCATTGTGAGGCCTCTATAGCTGATTTAATTTGAAGGGGACCTCTATGTCCCAGGTGTTACTGGGAAAATAGATATTGGCAGCTCCCCCACCCTCCAGCCAAGTTTTAATGACACAGCCTGGAACAAAAGAAGTTTTCCTGAACAAAACAAAACTAAATCTTTTATTTATTATTAATTTTTTTGTGTATGAGTGTATTGCCTGCATGTATGTAAGTGTACCTGTGTTGTGCAGTGCCCGAAGAGGTCAGAAGAGGGCATTGGATTCCCTGAAACTGACTGGAGTTACAGGCGGTTGTTAGCTGCCGTGTGGGTTCTGAGAGTCAAACCTGGGTCCTCTGTAAGAGCAGCCAGGGCTCTTAACTGCTAAGCCCACAAAACTAAATCTCTCCAGCCCACAAAACTAAATTTTTTAAGTCAGATTAAAAAAAAAAAAACCCATAGCCTTAGCCAAGCGTGGTGGCACACACCTTGGGGGCAGAGGCAGGTGGATCTCTGTGAATTCAAAGCCAGCCTGGTCTACATAGTGAGTTCCAGGCCAGCTGGGGCTGCAGGGAGACCCTGTCTCAAAAAGACCAAACAAATAAACAAAAAAAACCCATAGCCTTGAGCAAGTAACTTGCTGATGATGTATTCACCTAACATAAACCTGGTAAGTAGGTAAGGAAACTTGCTGTGTGAGTTTACTAGCTATATAGCCCTGGCTGCTCTTACAGAGGACACAGGTTTGAATCCCAGCACCCACATGGTGGCTAACAACTGTAACACCCCTAGCTGGTGATGGGAGAGCCACACTACCTTCCGGTTCTCTGTAACAGGATGGCAAGCAGTCAGCTCATCCCACCTCCTGCCTTGGAATTGCTAGGTGGTTTAGGAGACAGCCAGCCATTGGCCTGCACGGAGCCCCTGCAGCTTAAGCAGAACTCAAGGCCAGAATTGAGAGGAGGCATGAGGAACAGCCAAGGGCAACTGCAACACCATGCTCCCCATTCCAGGTGAGCTGTATGAATTCCCACTGTCCACAGGCTACAGGGTGAGGGGTGCATGTACCACACTATGAACAGACGGTCACTGGAGACTGCCTTGCAAAGACAGTGAATGTGACCTGGCCACCTAGTGATCTAGGGATGGGGAAGGAAAAGAGAATGGAGCCCTTTGGGGTGGAGGGTGGAGAATCTCAGACTGATTCAGGGAAACTGGATCATAGTGCAAGCTAAGCTGTTTAGAGACACAGGGAGGGATGATGGGAGGAGTCTAGAAGCTGCAGAGCAGGGGACCGAGTAGAACCAAGTGCTAGGGGGATACTAGCTTGCTGAGGGTAGTGGCTCTGGATTCAGGGGAGGGTAGCTTGGGAGAGGGAGACTTCAGAAGCTGGCTAAGCAAGATGCAGACACAGAGCAACAAACAGCCTGTTATGGCTGAACTGAACCAACACTGACCCAGGCAGGCAACACTGAACCAACCCAGGGAAGGTACAGGGTCTGGGTTGATACCTCCCCTTCCTGGCCCTAGGGGCTTTCTGGGTCCTTCTTTAGGCGACTTAAGTGGTTATAAATGAGGCAATGCTCCAGAGAAAATAAACCTTGAAATCACTCTGCCCCTGTGGCTGGGTGTCAGGGTGGAAGGCAGACTCTTAAGCAGAGAGGTGGGAAAGGGATAGAAGGTGGGAAAGGGTGAAGAGGGACAAAGGTGATGGATGATTGAGGAGGAAGATACCAGCTGGTGGGGCTGTGGGGTCCTGCCCCACAGGACACAAGTGTTAGGAACTCAGAAGGGATCAGGACTTTGGGGGTAATCAGAGTGGAGAAAGTACAACCCTTTCTTTGCCTGGTCAGAGTTTTCCCTGGAGAGCTCAAGGTCAGACAAGACAGGGAAAGGAGGTAAGGAGCCTAGGACTTCAAATCTGTGACTCAGCAGCCATCCCTCAGCCTGGACAGAGGTGGCCACAGGTGGAGGAGGGGGCAGGCAGAGAGAGAGAGCCAGTACTTAATAATTCATGGCTTTTTCTATTTTTACAGTTGCTCAAGGCAGCAGATAGAGTAAACATACCAAATCCAAGACTTTACCTGTCCCAGCTACCTCCTTCCTCTGGGACACAGCCACACCAAAGTCAAACAGGATCTCTGTCTATAGACAAGGCTTTGAAAAGTGAAGTTGGAGCTTAGCCCAGGGCGGGAGAAAACAGAACACCCATGTCTAGGTGAGAAAACCACTTCCTGAGTCCCCCCAGGGGCAACAGAGGAGGAGCTGGGTAGAAGGGAATCTGGGGATCTGGTGCAAGGACCCCTGATGTGACTAAATGCCACTTGGCAGATGTTCCACCCCATCAGCTCTCCTGGCCTGGCATTCAGAGCTGAGCGGGGCTGGGAGGTTCTTCACACCCTACTTCCCAGTCTTTCGTTTGGCTCCATGCCTTGGTACAAGCATCCCTTTCCCCCAGAGTGTCCTCCCTGTCCTTCCTCCACCCTGCAGCTCAAAGCTTCAGATGTCTCTTTCTTTGGGCTGAAGGGGGCCATATCACAGTTGTTACTTTGATCCCACTTCCCAGGGCAGAAATTACCTCCCTAGGCTCAGCCCAGTTCCTGGCCCTGGACAAACAGACATCAGGAAGCTGCAGTTTCTTCCCAGACTCTCATTGCTGGGTCCCCTCCCCCTTAGTTCCTGGGCTCTGGTTACTACTAGAGCGGTAAGCTAGATCAATCAGCAGGGCCCAAGAAGTGGTGGTGTACAGAGCCAGTTCCTCCCACCTGGATGGGATCATAGCAGTTCAGTTCCGATGGAACGGTGATTCCTCTCCTTCCCAGAAGCTATGCATTGTCCACCCTACTCTCTGGCTCCTTCCTCCCACGTCTGGGCCGGGCATGGTGCCAAGTCTTCATTAGGGGTGTGGGAACTAAATGAGACTGCAACAGTATTAGCATCTGCCTTCCCTAGAGGCTATCTTCCCTAGAACTCAGCTTTCCATCTTTCCTTCTAAGCTAGCCTCTTCCATGAAGCCACCCATAACCACCTACCCCTAGCACATATAAGTGGGCCTCAGTCACTGGCTCACACACACCCAAAGGGTCAGGGTGCTGACTGTTCTCACTTTCCAAGATGGTGAATGGCACTCAAATGGGGCCCATAGACATTTATGGAATGGAAAAGTTTGGGGGGTAGTGCGGAGGATAGGGGGGAGTTGCCACAGCCAGCATGGGGGCAGCTCACTGTACAGTTGCTCAGGCTAGCGTCTGCAGCAGAGAACGCGGCAGGTCTAGCCCATCACCCTGCATCCTACACAGGTTCCCCAAGGTTCTGATTAATCTGCAGTCCAGAGTACAGGGACAGCTCATCTGCAAATGAATCTTAGCTGTGTGGAGAAATGGGTCAGGAAACAAAGGCTCCTGAATCCAAGTGGATGCTTCCCATTGGGGCAAAAACCAAAGCTCCGGAGCCCTGAGGATGGAGGCCAGGCCTCAATGGCACTGGCTTGTGACTGACTGCATCTTCAGGGCTTGCAGGTGACTGTGGGAAGGTCATTTTCCCTTGGACATGTTCCTCACACCCTCCAACTCTCGGCAAGGATGAGGCACCTTGGTGGAGTAGAGGATGGATCTGACTCCACTTCAGCAGGCCTTGGCTTTGACCCTTCTCAAGGCCTCCTCCTTCCTGACTCAACAGCCCCTCCTTGACTCCCAGTGATGTCACTTTGGCCACCTCATCACCAGCTTCTAAGAACCCCCTTCCAGTTACCCTCTGGGCCTCAGATGAGAGGCCTGAGGTGGCTCCCTCTTCTTCCAGGCTCTTATTTGGCATGCAGTCTGACATTACCAGACCGGAGCCCTCGACATCCTGAACCATTTCCAGGGCAGAAAAAGACTCGGTGACTCCTCCCTTGGGAAGTCGGACTAGAGACTCCACTTTCAGCTCCTTCACTGGCATGGTCCCCAGCACCACCCCCTCCAAGGGCAGAAAGAAGATAGTTGGGGAAACTTTCTGGGAGTCATAGCGCTCCGAAATTCTGGCTGGGACAGATGCCGCTGATTTGGGGCGATGACCTCCCTCTGCACACAGCAAAAACGTGCCGGCCAAGACTTCCATTCTACTTAATACCCGGGCCCCCTAATACCAGGAGCACTGGGCAGTTGCTGCTTCTAAGGTGAGGTGGGTGATGGATGCCCTGTCCACTGGACACTTTTGCAGGTCTCCCTCTGCCGGGTCCGAATCTTCCAGGGCAGGGCCCCTCTCTGTCCACATCCCCATTCTCAAAGACGCATCTCGTTTCCGAGTTGGGCGCACCAGGTCCAGCCCAGCTCTTCCCGAGGTGATGCCTGCCCAACAATGGAGTATCTGCCAGGGGTCGCGGGGCACACCCCACTGCCTCCCCGACGCACTCACCCTGCTCCAGGTCCTGCTGGTCGTACCAGGGCTCCTCGTCCTCTGCGGAGTAGTCCTCCATCCCCGCGGCTCTCCGCATGGCCCGACGGTGGGCGGAGGGCGGGCGCTGCGGCGGCGCAGCTCAGGCCCGGGTCTCGCGGCCCGGGACAATGCGGCGGAGGCGGCCCGGGACTCCCGCGTCGCGGCCTCGGGCTGCAGCGCC